ACTAAAACTGTAAGAACAAAGATGAAGACGCTATGGATCCTGGCTCATGCAGGGAAACTGAAAGAGAGGAGACTTCTCAAAATAGGATTTTCCTGTTCCATACTTTACATATTGCATTTGCCACCTCCAGTAGCTGCAGCTACTTTTTAATAGCAGGCATCAGTTATGAACTGCATAAGATTTTTGGAAGCCACTATTGCATTATTCAAAAATCCTAATTTCCTTTCCTAATTTTCTTTTTTATTTTTTAATCCCTAGGCCTACAGCAGTGGTACTGGTAAGCTGATCTCTGCTGCTGCTCACTGAGTACTGACAGTTTCTCTCCCTTTCTTATTTCCAACTACACAACCTTACAAACAGCAACGTAATCCACTAAATATTACCCAGCGCTAATTTTTCAACAAATGCAAATGCTGTGATTGCCATAAGTGGTGAATAACTAAATAAAATATGCCTTTTTACAATCAGACTTCAGTAACAAGATACAGGCGCATACGGACATTTGTATTGCTTACAGAAAACAGTACTGAACACTGCATCTCTGCATGTGCCGTGGCAGCTGGAGCTGTTAGATGTGGAAACAATCTACAAATGTAATAAGCAATTGTGATATTATTTATGGGTTAAGCATGCAATGATCTTAATAGTTTTCCAAAAGTAAAATTTAATAGCCAGTCCCTGACATATTAACTCAACAGTAACCCAGTGACCTGGAAAACTGTTCTTTTGTGAACACAGAGTTAAGTAATCCAATTTAATTTTACCTGCGTATATATACTGAATATGTGGCTCTGCACTTCGTCCATGGAGTCCAGACCGTAAGCTACTGTTCCCAGGTGAAGCCTTTTGAAAACCATCTCGTTCTGTGTGAGGGTTCCTGTAACAGAAGCGGTACCAGACCCTGAGCATTAACCACCGCATTATTTCCCAATGCACTTTCTGTTCTTTGCTATACCCTGGATCAAAGAGAAACTGGGCCAGGAAGCGTAACCAGTTACGCGCTGTGCTCTCAGTGCAGGCTGAGGCCGGGGGAGATGATGGTGTTCACAGCCCTGAGGGCAGATTCTCCCAGGAAGCAGTGGTGCAGCACATCACTGAGGCAGTGAAAATGAGATTATTCACCCAAAAGTCAATGCAAATAAGAACGTGTGGGCATAGTTCCGGTCCTGTTGGAACCGAAGAAAACTTCTGGGAACAACTTTAACAGGAGCAGGACTTTAGGTCAGATCAAGCTTTTGGTTACAGCTTGGAGCTTCTGACCTGGAGCACAGCTCTGAAGACGGGAGGACAGCAGCAGTCAGCCAGATGGCACGATCCTGCCTGCACACATGACCTGTCTCCCGCCGACTTCGAAAAACGTTTAAAGCATGCTATTAAACCAAAAGTGGAGGGCAAAAATAGCAAAACCAAAGAAATATTTAGAGTTGTTTTTTAAAGCAAAAAAATCTCCTGTTCTCTCTTATTTATAGCCAACTCAAAACAAAAGCATTCCAAATACTTTTAAAATTGACTAAAACATACTGTCAAAGTGACAGAGTGACAGGAAGTGCTTCTTCTAGCCCAAAGGGATCTTTAATTATACGCTCTAGTAAACCAAAAATGTAACAAAAAAAAAAAAAACCCCAACAACAAAATATTGTGACCCAAAACTGTGTTCTCTAGATACATACCTGTTTTATCTGTGAGCAAATAGGATATCCGCCCCAGCTGCTCTGGAATGGTGCTGGATCGAACGACCGTCCCAGGGATTTTGGAATCTCTGCGAATCACCCAGCTGTAGACAATTTTCCCCATGTCCAGATTCACACGTAAACTACACAGGAGGAAGGGAGAAGAGAAAAATGAAGTATATCTGCAGTAAAACTTTGGATAAAATCATTGTGAATGCCACAGTGTAATAAAAGGACACATCTTGCCTACCAAAATGGAGAAGCCAAACCAGGATCTTTACGGAGAAGTATATACAAAGCGAGTGATCAGGTGGCAAACGGGGAAAGGAGCTGTACATTGCTCCAGGGGTACAGTAATCCAAGAAAGTATATAACAAAATTTTGCTGAGAAGAGATAAAATTTGAGAGGAAGATGGACATATATGAATGAGGACAGCATGACTGATGATGAGACAGCAGGTTAAAAGTGGAACTTAAATGAATCCCAAACCTACACTGAAAGTAACAATCTACTTATGAATATAACATAATTAAACATTAAAATCTCAATATCCTCTCAAAGACAGTATAAAGGCAACATAAATCAAGGCAGGACATGCTTATACACTATAACATGTAATAGTGCAATGCTGTATAAATGTGACATCTCTCTTTGTCCATTTTTTGCTCCTTTCATCAGAGAAACCAGGTGGCCTGAACAGCGATAGAAAGGTCTGCCTGCAATAGGCACTTGTGGTCCATTATTTCTAGAGATACTCCAGTCTCATTTGCGCTTGGTTTCCAATGGCACCACGTTCCCTGGGAGCTACAAAGCCTCTACAAGAATATTGATAATTCTATCAAAATACTGACACCACAGGGAAAACCAAACCACTCCTTCCCTAAATGACTAAGTTGTAGCCTAAGTTACAGAGCACGGGCAGCAAATAGGCTAATGTGCTAGATGAATTTAGCAGAAACAACCAAGCAATTCCTAACAGTCCTCTGATTTCTATTTCTAGAATTGTTCAGTTGCCAAATGAAGAACTGATAAGAATTTAAATGCCTAGTCAAACAAGAAACATGGAGGAATATGCAAAGGAAGCAATATTTTCCTGGGAAAAATTAGCAATCGCCTTACCTAATCGGAATGATGTTTGAGAAAAGAAGGAGAAATCTTATGATCTGAAGATACCAACGGCCAGCAAAATGCTGAAGGGCCACCATGACGAGTGAGACTACCACAAGCGCCCCAAACAGGATCTTGGTGAGACAGTTCACTTCCAAGTCAAAGAGACCAATCTAAGCAAATAAAACAGGCATTTCAATCACACAAGTGAAGAAGTTAGCTCAATGTAGCATTCACAAAGGGAAATTCCCATGTCCAAAGAGTCATTCCCAACTAATAAGCTGCTTCTCTTTATTTAAAAGATTACAAACAGTCGAACGTATAAACTGCACTGTTGTCAGCACAATAAATGAGACCTCCATCCTCTGGAAGCTGAGCAACGCATGAGGTGTGAGAGGACTCATGCTGTCAAAAGCTGCAGACTATATGTAATATCCTGACGCTTTGTCTTGACCTTGCTAGAGTAGAAGAAAGCAGAAAAATAAGCTTTCCTATTCTAACTGGACAAAAGCATCTCGTCCAAACTGTATAAAACAACATTTTAACTTATCTTAAAAAAAAAAAAAAAAAAAAAAAAAAAAGAGTGGGAAGACACAAGTAGGATTAAAAAAAATAAGAGGAAGTAGGTTCTGCTGCAGTAACTATCTTAAATGTTTTTCTGGAAGTTAATCAATATGCATATGGTGTTGTCCCTGTAGTATGTACACATAGCATTTGGAAGGGGTTTTTTTTGTTTTTTTAATTATAAATTTTCCTCTTTTTTATTTAGTATAAGACTCTGCTTCTTTACCATACCTTACTTCTAGGGTTTGAAGCATTCATCACACTGCGTAGTTCCCTTCCAGTGTAGAGAACAACTCCCACAACAGTACCTAAACAAAACAGTGCCTGCATCAGTCCAGGAAGAACAATGTCAGTTTGTTTTCTCTAAAATGGCTCAAAAACACTTGTTGTTGTATCCATAAGCTCAACACGTAGAGGGGTTTTTTAGCAGGTTAATTGCAGAAGCAGTAGCAACCAGAGACTAAAGAAGTAGATACGTGAAATACAAAACCCAGGAACACAGATTTTGAACACAAGACATCCTACTTCGAAGTCAGCAGTCTACAACCACACTGCTCACGCTTGACGTGACACCACATCAACTAATAGGCATAGAAGGGAATTCGACTCCTTTGCTCTCTCACCTTTCCCTGACCCCCTTTTGATGTCAGTTGTCTCTCCCACTAGAAATAAAAGCTGCTAAGAGGAAAAATTGCAAGTTTTTCCTTCCACTACTTTAACTCCATTAATGTATTTGTAAATTTGCCTCGTACCAGCTAATGATCCTCCATCCGCTCTGTCCTGAGCTGCAAGATATCACCTGCTAGCTTGAACAGCATTTAAACATCATCACAATCTGCAAACATCCACCAGCACTGCGCAGCATCAGCATCCAAGCATTAAGGTGCTCTGTCTGCCCAGAACGGAAAGGACAGGCACCAGCCACTCTGATCCTTCCATAACTGGGGAAGGCGTTTATTCAGATACATCCAGCTAAACTTTACCGCTGGCCTCAGTCACTTCTACACGCAAACCGGTGCTTGTTCACTCCTGAAGTTTCCATTGTCTTGGTGGTGGCTCCAAGGTCTACGGGTATGACCTACCACCTTGCAGCAACAGCAGCGAGGATCAGCTTTCCCTCTGCACAGGAGCTGAGGAACTGTACCTCTCCTCCCAGACAACCAATACAATGAGTCTACGCTGACAAGATGAACACCTTCTGCTGCAATAGGATATCCATATTCTGTAAGGCTAAAGTACTCCTAGCGCAGAAACAGTCACCCTAACCATCCTGTACCTGCAGCGAGAACTTGAGCTCCCCGGAGCGAAAGGAGCCATACCAGTACTGGAAAAGTTTTGCTGGGATAGCTTCATCCAGGCTTGGCACTTCTCTCAACTTCAAAGGCGATTCAGAGGAGACCTTGGTTTAAGCTTACTGTTCCTCACCATTACAAGATAATTCTCCTTCCGATCTCCATTTACAAACCAACAGCAAAATCAAATGACTAGCAAAGCTGTGAAATTACAAACTCATTAACCTAAGTCCAATTGATCTGCTTTTAAAAAAAGCTCAAAGTCTTCATTATGTTTTAAGTCTGCCAAAATTAATCAGTGCTCTGGGCTATGGTTTTTTATCGGAGAAGGCTGCTAAAATCAGAATAAAACCAATGAATTCTTACAGCTTTTAAAGACAGAATTACCTTATTTAAAATCTACAGTTTAAGTATAAATCAAGTATTTGTCTAGTTGCTGTTCCCACCAAAAGGTGAATCATACTAACTCCTACCTTACTGAAACAGATGGAGCTACTGGGAACCTATCAATATATTTTAATGCTATGTCCCACAGTTTCTACAGAGCTAAGAGCAACAATGCTCTCCCTTTTTCTCCTGCAGAAACATAGTACTATAAACCCCTGTTTTCTACAGGTTTCTCTTAAAGACTTTGCAAAAGACTACTAAGAAAAAGCTGGCTACTGTAAAAAGTTTAAAAGCTGTGTTGCCAAGGTCCAAGTTTCTACTAGAAAATTTTAGGGGCTTGTAAAAACGGAGAAAAACAACACTGAAGAAAAACCACTGCTGCAAATACATTGCCATTTTATACTCTGCTATTCCCCTGCTCCCATTAATGACCAAGGTTTTAACAAGCTGCAAGTGAATTATTTTTAAATAGGACTAATTTGAAAGAGGTAGTTTCTAAAAATACGTTGGGAAACGTTCCCTTAAAAAAACAAATCTCTGGAGCCAGATGGCAGGAGGTGGTAAGATCATCACAATTCAGATCAGCAGATGGCACAGCTACTCCAAATCAGCAGCAAACAATCAGAGTCAGACCCGCTCCTACTACAGCGGCAGATGGAGAAAGCCACATAGCTCTGCTTCATCTTACAAGCAAAGGCTGCCCTAGCGAGATGGCATCAGCACAGCTTGACAGCTTTCACTTCCAGAAGAAGAAAAATAATATCCACAATTTTTCGTAACCAATAGGTTTTCTTTACAGAAAGAACCTGCAACATGCATACACTAGGCAAGATATTTATTACTACCATAGCAGAAACAAAACAGTATTATGTTGATCAAATAAATCAAAATGAGGAGAAAAACCTATCAGGCTAGAAAACAACTTGAAGGCACACTGGCAGGCACAAAAAGAGCGTTGTTAATTGGTTTAGGGATATTTAAACCAGACTGCATTATACAAAGCAATTCTGAATGATGAAAATATTTGTAAACGTTATTTGGATTATCTGAACCCACAAAGATGTCCATCTACTGGTAACCTTGTTCATCTTCAGAAGGGAGGATTAGAGTCAAACGGCAAGTTCATTTAGGCAAGAGCAGGTCTTTGCATGCCTTTATACAGACACCAAGATGCAGCAGTGCCAGTTGGGATTCCTAAAGGACACTAAAATAGCAAACAACTAATCAGGCAGAGCAGAGCGTGTGCTGCGCCCTCCGTTTGGAAAAGATGCTTGTGCACAGAAGTGCACACACATAACACGTGTGTCCAAACGAACGGCAGAGGAAGAGCTTGCACGCTGCGTAGGTGCTGGGTGTGATCCTGCTGAGGGCAGGGGATCATTTTCCAGTGGTTTCAGTAGGATGGTTCCCTGTTACACAGTCTGGTGTGTTAAATTCAGCCACATCAGTGCAGTGCCATGAGGAGATCAACACATAGGTTTTTCGAATTAAGAACTGATATGAATTAAATCTTCAGTACAAGAGATAAAAAAAGCACGGGACAGAATCACAATAAAAATAGATTTCCATTTCTCCTTTTATTTTTTTCAACAGCTGGATGAATTGATGCACCAAGTGGCCTGTTTGGTATTTGAAGCTGCCAGTCCTAATACATATATTTACACTTGGGGGCATTTTTTCCAATGCTTCACATTAGAAGTTCTTTAGAAGTCCATGTTCCTTCCCATCAATAATTCCATGTACAGCTTGGTACTGCACTGTGAAACCTCTCCATTCAATAAGTTTAGTTGCACAACCGCATTGCAGAATTTTACTGTCTTCCAGATACTGTGCTGTAAACCTTGCAAGCACACTACACTGGAGAGGAACAAGGCTTTTGTTTTGGGAAGCCTGTACTAGAGAACACTGACTGATCTCATGCCTTGCAAATTCATTGTATAGGGAGACCAAAATCCATCAAAGAATTTATTTTTTCCTTTGTAAAATTACACAAGACTAGAACTCAATGGAAGCACTTACCTGGAGACCTTTCATCTTAGCTTCTGTTACCAGCATCTATTTGACACCATTTCTGTTACAGATTAGAATGTCAATGTGGAGTGCAATTAAGTGCTATTCTGGTTGTAGATGCTAAAGAAGTGCCCAAAGGCCACTCCAATTCTTTCTCATCTAAGAATGTCCAAGAGGCAATTAGACGTCAACTCAGTTCCCCAGAGGTGTTAGGACAAGTGGGAAACCTCGTTCGAACGGCTAATTTCTCCAACCGACAAAGATCATTATTCCATTACAAAAAGACCTTTAAAAATTGTTAACATACTTCCCCTTAAAAAAAAAAAAAATTACACACGCCTCCGCCTTACCTGATGCGATCACTGTGCTGGCCCATAGGGTGTTTTCTATGCTTAAACTTTCATTCACTGGAGGGTCACTGTCCTCCTACAACAGGAAAAAAAAAAGTCTTAAACTAGTCAGTAATTTAGAAGTAATTTAAAAGATCAGTGTATGACAAAGTTACATCAAAATGGATAGGGACACTGGGGGAGCTGGTAGTGGACTTCTTGCATAAGAGGGAGGATTTTCACAAACACAGTTAAATCTCTGGTTGGGTTAAAAACACAGGCGCTTTCTTTCAGTAGAGTGGAAGGGTTGGAAAAGAAATCTATTAAAATTTCTCTTTCTGCTGAACACCTCTGGGAATTATAAATGAGCGTGTCAGAAACTCTCCTGGGACTACAGGAAAATATTCTTCTTGGTTGGCTCATGCAGATTACAAGCGTTTCTCCTTCTATGTAAGATCTCACTGAGAACCTGTTTCCAGGCTCAGCGATGCCTGGAAAGTTGTCTGACACGCACCAACAAAGAACAGTTTTAAGAAAGTGTCATTCCTCTCAGATACCAGAAGATTAATTCTACAGAACAGCACCTTTCCATGAGAAAGTAATTTAATGCCTGCTCAAGGTTTATAAAAGAACTGCCCTGCCCAAGCTATATTAGCCTATTCCATGCCAGCACTAGTTCCTATTAAACCAGATTAACCATACCTCCTAAAGACAAGCAGGCAAACCCCAAACTTGCAATATTAAACTTAAATACCAGTAAACAGCTTCTAAAAAGCACTGTCTCCTATTTGTCACCCAACTATTTGTCTTCTGAAAGCTCCCTAAGGATTTTAGGTGCATCTCAGACTTTTCATAGTGCCAGTGAGATGCAAGAGAGAAGAGGAAAGAAAAATAAAAAAGGAAAAGAAGGAAAAAAGAAAAAGAAACCTTAAATAGGCAATGCATCTTCCTATCAAGTCAAAAGACTTTTTTTTTTTTTTTTTTTTTTTTTTTTAAACAGTGATATTTCACAGCAGCTCTGAGCCTCTGCCCTCTGAGATAGAGGGCATATATAACTGAGCTCACACAGGTTGCATTCAACTGAAAGCAAAAAACCGCCTGACTCAGAATCAAGACTGCTGTTGCCTCACCTAGTCGAGATCCCCTTTCATGGCCTTTTCACAGCTGGGAAAACAATTTTAATCCTTCCAAGTCTGTGGTGGTCTTTCTGAACAGACACAATGATTATGTGACTACCAATGTGATTTATATGTTCAGATCTAATGCCTTCAGAGTAGGGTCTTTAATCCTGAACTGCCTATGACACTGTCTTCAAATCAGAGCTTCAATTACTATATATTTCTTTCAGATTTAATTCACGTATGATTTTTATGAGGGAGGAAAAAAATAGTTCAAGGAATAGCAACCCTTCTCTATTTCTCCTGAAAACATCCGGAAACTTGGAAACTTTCAAAAGGTTTGCACTGCAAACACTACCTATATTATTTAAAAGACACATCAGGAACACTCACCCTTGTGAAGGTCCCCACAAAATTATGTATATCAATATTGGGCTCTTCTGCATATACGTAGGATCGGATTTGAAGTAGATCCTTTAAAACAGCATGATTTAGCAGATGGTTAGACCATGATATTTTAATAACATAGAAAATTTTCCACCAAAATATTTCAAGCAAGAGTTACTTAATCAAGTTATGATAATTATTATCATAATGATTAATAATGATTATTATTAATTATATTACTTTACTTGAGGACAACTATCTAGGAGAAAAGACAACCATTATACCAGCTTCCCTGACAGTATTTTTCTGAGGTGTTTCTTGAAGTGAGACCACAAAGAGACTCCTGGGAGTGAGTTAGTTGTAGGTGCCCCATAAAAGAAATTTCAGCCTCAGGAATCAAGACAGCCTATGACTCTCTTTACTTTGGAGTACAGATGACTTAGACTAGTCTCCCAAGGCAAACTAGGAACATCCTATCACTTGATATTTAGTTCGAGGTGCCATTGTCATTGGGAGCCGTTCTATGGCGACAAGAAGATACTCTAATTCTGCACAGCTTTTTCACTGCTGACTCCTACACACATAGGAACTAGTCATCCCACCACTAGAGAACGTCATTCTTCAAAACATCTGTAAATTTATTGCACTTTTTACAGAAAGAACTTCAATAACAGGTATTTGGATTCCCTCTGTTTTCTTCCTTTTTTAAAAATGCAAACTACATTTGCTAGAGGGTTTTGGAAAACACCACATTTGATGGAGGTTATGTGCGAAGCAATGCTAAATTCACCAGTTTCTCAAACAGCCCATTAACTGAAGGAACTGAACACTCTTCAGGTAAATCAGATGCGTCTTTTTAACAAATAAAGCGTTTTGCAAGAGCTCAGCTTACAGAAGCGGTTGGCAATCTCTGGGTACAGGTCACAGGCAGGCGCAGTTTCCAGTCCGTCTCACCATCCAGCTGATCGGTGCGAAGGAAACAAGATCCTGTGGATTTTCAACAGCAGTTAGCGTTCTCTCTAGGCGTGACTTAGGTACGTCATCAGCTCATGAAACAGGTTCATAGCTAGGGCACTTTTCTTCCTTTGAAAACAGTATCTGATTTAAAGTAATGTTTGTTAACAACGTACGAACCAAAATAATTTTATCCTTGCATTACGCGTTCAGATCCTTCCAACAGTCTGCATACAGAGAGCCTCCACACTGTATCTTTAAGACATTCAAAATATTCTCATTAGTCCTTATGTTTTCCAAGTCTTTTGATCAAACATTTCCTATCCCACCCTTAACAAAACAAACCTAAACGGCAAATAAAATGATTTACACCTACAATGCACAAGCCATTGGTACGTAGTTGGATCCAACTACCTACATTCTTTAATTAACAAGCAAAATCAGAATATAACAACATGAGAAGTGGTGGTCCACTAAAGTGTTTGAATTCTCTGTCTCCCTAAAATTCAACTATTATCTATTTCTTTCACATTTCCAAAAGATAATTTTCTCTGAACAACCAGTGAAAGGTTAATGACTATTTTGACAATTGGTTCCAGATGTTTACCATTCTTCTCCGACGTCCTCAGGAAGATCATGTCAGCAGGGACCCGCTGGTTCTGTTGCGAGAAGAAAGGCCATTATTGTGCATGCAGCCCCGCACGCGTGTGCGACCTCCGTCCACAGCCCCACGGTGACGAGGCAAAGGGCTCGGGAGGAGAATGTGTATTTCTTTGTCAGACTGAAGCTTGGCATTCATTTTGCTTTGAATCCTGAAATCACTTCCCTGCAGAATCCCAAGTGCAGAACAATAACCGGTGCCAGCTCCCACTGACCGGCCTGGACTAACGTCTAGCTTTACAAAAGGGCTAGTGAGTAACCCTAGAGGTATGAAGGAATTTTAGACTAGCGCTATTTTCCTTTCAAGAAACTCTGCGCTAGAGGAAAGCATGTGTCTTGAGCATACAGGCACCTTTTTCCTCTTTTTGTATGGAATATTTTCATACCAGTAGTTTTAGGGTACACACTTTCCTGCACAGACAGCATGTGAAAAAATGCATCGTAAAGAGGAAACGTATCTGTACATATAGAGGCCTGCACATGGATCTCTGTCTCCCAACACTTGTGTTGGGTGTTTACACGCAACACAACATTTTGATGCTGCCCTTGTATCCGATATCTTACCCACATTCAATAGTCAGAGATAGGGTCACACAGTGGTTTTTTTTTTTATGTTGCTGTAGTGTAAGTGGAAAAATTCAAGTCACAGGCGTTTAACCAGAGATTTGCTCTTGTTTCTAAAGACTGTGATGCTATTTTCAGGACGGACAAAAAAACCCTGACAAATGATTAAATATCGTAGCTAATATCCCGCACTCAATATTCTGAGCGCATCATAAAACCAACAGGATTTCAAAATATCTATATTTTCTATGAGCTTGTGCAAAAAGTACTTTGCAAATAAAACGCACGCACTAACCTTTTCAACGATGATGAGGTCGCCGACTTGTATGTTAGAGCTCTTCACCTTCACGGTCCCTGCGGAGGAGAGACGCGGGGGAGCGGCAGCCAACTCCCGCGCCCGCGTTTTTTTTTGGCGGGACCAGGCTTGCCAGCGCGGGGCCGTGCTCTCATCGCGTCTCCTTCCAGCTCGGTCTTCGAGAGGAAGCGAGTAACGTTTCTACCGCAAGAATCGCGCAACGCTGCCCGATAAAGGCTCCTCAAACCCACCGCTTCCACCAGGTAAAGCAGCGGTTTTCAGCCTGTGAAAAAGGTTGAAAACCACCGGTGTACGCAGCTACGCACCTCAGTCTTGGAAACAGAGCCCCCTCCTTCGCTCTCTAGTGACCCCTTTGAAACTTAGCCTTTCTACTGTTTTCACATCGTTTAATCCAGGAATTTGAAAATACCACCAGGCGACAACAACGCGGGAAAAGTACGGTGACAATAGAGGAGCACCAACTTGCGATTCCCCTTCCCCAAGCGGATGAAGATTTAAAGCTTACGCCTTCCAGCCGAGACCTGGAAGCCGTCATTAAAACGGACGCGTCTTAAAAACAAGGCTCACTTCCTTCTGCGTCTCAGCCGTTATACCTGGCTCAGTCCTACAGCCGCTCATCGGCCTCTCTGCGGCCACAGTCCGAACAAACCGCGCAGAGCGCAGGTCCTACGGAAAACACCCCGGTACTTACTCCTTTGGGGTTGTCAAGCGTTTACCGGTTGCTTTAAAATAGAGGATTAATTTAACAATCGGCCAGTAATTTTAGATCATTAGCCAGCCCTAGATGTGGCTTTCTCGGCGTAACTAGTGATTTATAATCAGTTAATTTGATCCCTGCCTCTACGTGTCCGTCTGCTTCGTTTCAACAAAAGCCTCTTTGCTCTGCAGCGACCCGAGTGGGAGTGGGGGAGGCACGTGGGAGCTCACGCCAGGCAGAAGCCCGGGAGGGACAACACTCCTACTGTACCTCCAGATTCATCCACAGGCTAGCCGGGCAGCTCAGGGGCCAAGCAGAGGGGGGAAGGCACGGGGAATAGAAATTAGCACAAAGCACAAAGGTCACTAGGATTTTACTACTGGCAGTCCCTTCATTAGCATCCTTCGCAGGATATGCTTCAGTGTTTCTGCTCCAAATTAACAAAGAAAGCCATTCTGAGCTGCCGGGCAGCCTGCTGCTTTGGTGACACACTGTGTGCTTAACAACATGCTTCATCACTGCTCCTAATAAATGCAGACTTCCTTGCATGCCGTAATTATTCCTACAAATTATAAGCAGTCATGGCCCATTTCACAAATATCTCATAGGTCTTTCGTAGAGTCAGGGTTTTGCCTGGCAACTTTTTTTTTTTTTTTGGAGTTAAAAAGGGTAAACAGAATGAATGCTGGGTTAAAGACACCTCTGATGGGGCAGGAAGCATACCAGGGATTAAGAGTCCATTACGCAGAGGCTTAAAAAGAAAAGCCGCACTCCAAGAGGATCCAAAAAAGCATCCCTGGTAGTCTTATGTATGGGCTATACAAAGTTAGGTACTATGACACTAAAAGGGTCTGACAGATAACATCTCTTCCTCCCCTTCTAATACGGTTATTCATGAAACAACAAAAAGCGCTTTTGAATATTCTACTGTGCAAAGGAGGAAAAACTGCATTCTCTCCCCCCAGGCATAAAAATTCCCAAATAATTGAGTAAAGCCTTTTGGTTAGGATAGGTGGCTTTGTTTAACCATATTTTATATACTTCTCTTGAAGATCACAAAGTTTTATTCAGCGACTATCAGCATCGGAAGCACTACCTGCAGGGTTTGGAAATGGAAAGGAAACTTATTTTCATTGCACTTTCCACAGTGATGTAAATTCACACTGGAAAAAAATGTAATGCCTGGACAAAGCCATAACACAACGATCTCCCATCATTATGGGCATGAAAGGATTTTTAGATCAGTATTTTGCAAATAATGTTATCTGCTTCAAAATTTTTTCACCCAGAAGAAACAGCGACTGGAACAGATTTGTTGTGCCCAGTAAGTCTCTCAAAAGCCTCAGCTACTTTAAGATAAAAGAAAGAGAGGACAGAAGTATCTTTCTAACCAATGTGCATTTTTTAATAACTGTTGTATAAATGAGATCCCCTTTTTAGATAGCAAAACTCATTCTGCTTCTCCAGCCATGCTTGTGGCCTCTCGTGGATGACATCTCTGCAGCATGTACCATATGTCCTACTAAGGCGGCACAGGACCAGATGTTTCCTTTGACTCAGGACTCCCATAAAGCAACTTACTTGCATTAGTTTTATTTCGATCTTGGGAATTCTGCAATTCCTTTTTCTTTCGGTGTAAAAGCTAGCTGCTAAATACTAGATGTGTGTTTTCTCACACAAGTTTAAGAAACTAGCTAAGAGGACTAGTGCTTCAATTCTCAATGTTGTTTTACTACTAAGTTAGTGCTTTTATAAATGCATCTAAAAATATTCCCTCTAAATACAAATAAGTATATTTAGAACTAGTGTGGATTCGATAACATTTACAGCTTTGCTTCCAGTCTGTATTTTCAGAAGCTAACCAGAATACAAGTCAATCAGTGGTTAACAAACACACTCAACTACTCTTGATCTCTTATGTTAACACAAATCAATTCTTAAAGTTTTAATGATATTTGTTTGTATTTTGCATTTATCTTTGCTATATACCGATAAATAAATATTCTATAGATTTATCTTTGCTCATAATACACGAGCAGAAAAAAGAAGGCACAATTAAATGGAAATAGTTTGCTCCAACTTCAGCTACGGCCTTTGGAATTATCACCAAATCGGCAGCGTGATCCCAGCACAGATTATTTAAAGTATTAAATACATCAGCCAGGAGAAACGTCTCTTTGTACCACGTAAGCGCCTTGTAAGTCAAGATCTCACAAGAGAGACACACAGTTTTCATTGAGGTAGAGATCAAAATACTTAATTTGGAATTAAAAAATGAGTTAAAACCGGTTTATTAAAACATGCCAAATGCACCCTAGAATCTGAAAGGGAGATTGTTTGGACCCGCTGCACCAAACTTCTGGCTTTGGTACCTTATGCTGCATAAACTGTGGAGCAAGACTCAGAGGGTTTGGGAAAATATTGTTTTTATATGGCTGGTAAATGCCAATGATCTGTATCCGAAGTAGCACCCCTCAGTAGGAGGTCTCTTCCCATTTCTCGCTGTGGAGTTTCTCTCTATTATGCTGTGTTACCCGAGGGGGGGGGAGCGAGAGAGAAGAAAAACAAACCAAGAATTTGCAAGCACTGTTTTAGCTTTCTGTCAAGCAGAAAGCCGGCATACAGACCTCCGAACACAAGCAGTCTTGTAGGTTTTATGAATAGGGGATTGAAATTTGATTGTTTTTTATTACAATCCAAACAACTGTCCTCTAAATACACAGCATTCTATTAAAAAATGCTTTCCAGAAGTCTTCTGGTTTCATCACTTTGGAACTTAAATGGATCATAGCAGTAAAAAGGGAAAACAGGTTTAGTTTTTAGAGTGTTTTTTGTTTGTTTGCTTTTTTTTGTTACGTAAATTAAAGGGACCAGTCCCACACAGAAAACACCCTGCTATCTGCCTTGCCTCACACTGTCCTCCAAAAAGATTAGTCACTGGAATTTAGCAACTATATTCAAAATAAAACATGATCCAAAGAGGATTCTCCCTTTTTCTCTATAAAGAAAATAGCTCAGTGAATCTCAGCAAGCTTAATGAGATGAGTGCATTAAAAAAAAAAAAAAACACAAAACCACACACACTTTCACATACAGCAGCAAAGCTGCAAATCACCAATAATTACAAAATACCAGGGGTATCATGTTAGCGAGCTCGATGCTGGAGAGCTCCTCGCGTTCAGCTGATGGGAGAGGTTGTCCTTGGAGGTGCAGTAGCAGGGTCTGCTCAACTGAGCGTGCAGCTGGTCTCTGCCCAGAGAGCGCCAGCAAGAATGCAAAGCGCGAGAAAGCGCACACAAAGAGGACAAGAGGATCCTGCTTCAGGAAAGCACTTAAATCTGTGCTTACTTCTATCCCTATTCAAAAAAGCACATAAGCCTGTTCTTAAGGCTCTCTGTCTTCATTCAGAACTGAGTAGGTATTTACATCCCCGGGGTTGGGCCAGGAGGCCAAGGCTGGAGATGGGAAAAACTCTTCTCCAGTCCTACACTTTAACAGCAGCTTAGTGAAATCACACAGCAGAAATAAAAATAGCTTGAAGAAAGCTGCAGAGATCCATTAGATCTGTTATAGCCAATCTTGGAGAACAGCGGTGTTCAGCTTCCAGCCTCACCTAACCTCTCCCCCTGCCAAGCACCAGCTTTAGAGGTGAAACTATTGTGAAGCTAAAAAATAAAAATAAAAAAGCAGCAGCAGCAACATTTCAGAGTTTCAGAGGGCTTTTGTGCCCCGGTGCCCTTCTGCGCTGCCCTTTTCAGGACAGGACTGTGCTAATATCCTGGAGCGTGAACCGTGCTTTACAACAGAGGGAAAAGTTAAACGGCCTATAGGCTCTCGGCAGCAAGTTTCATCAGCTCCACTGAAAATAAATGGTGAGAAAGATCAGCTGTTCCCAACTTTTTTTTTTTTTAAAACTCCTGATATTTGCTGCTTCTGCTTTTCACCTGAAGAAGCACTTGCTTGAAAGCTTATCTACATTTTAACTATACTAATAGTTAAAATAAATAAAAAAGAATTACACCTTTCCTTTGGTTTAAAGCATCCAGTCCCCCCCTGCCCCCAACCCATGTTGACACCACAAACTACTCCCATGTTTGTAGATGATGCTTGGAGATGTTAAGGTTTTAATCGGTGAAAAAAATTGATGTTTGAGTCTTTTTGAAAGCTAGATTACTGAAAAACATCAGATTTTGTGTGTGTGCCTGTGAGTGAGTGAGAGAATTTGACTTTTCTCCCCAAACTGCTAGCCAATTATAAATGATTTTCTGCATTTCTCATTTTTCTAAACTATACTGCTGAAGACTCTTGTTGGTTTTTTTTTTTTTTTAAATACACACCAAAGGCATGATAAAAAAATAAAATGGCTTAAGATTTTCTGTTAGTGCCCAGCTGCCAATCCTCCTTGGTTTCTTTCACAAAATTAGAAGAGTTAAAGGGCTGGGGGGAGGGAGATCATTCATGGGAAACGTAATAGCAATATGAAAAGAACTAAAGGAGAGGTCAGGCCCCTTATACATCATTGAATGGAATCCAGAAGGCAACTCTTTTATATCTTTAAATAGATGTAGTACACCCCTCTTGGATGGGGCTTTTGTTGGTTGCCAAGCATTTTAAGTGTTGTAGTAAGAACATGTTATTAAAAGGGGATTTAATATTCAGAAACTCCAGTTCCTTAGTTTGCAGTTGCCTCATAATTCCTGGCATGTGAAATATATACAGCCCTAAGCAATTACATTTAAAAAGGAGGCTTATTCTTAAAAGTGTTGAAAGCAGCGTATTTTTAGTACAACTAGCTCACCACTTCTTAATTCAGGGGTATCTACTTTTATAACAAAGAAAATTGAAACAAAAAAAGAAGTTGCTTAAATTCAGTTCATTCCCTGTTTAAAAACAAAACCCCGGCCTCACTGACATTGTCACGGTATTAGCAGTAACTCCGCAGCAAGGAAGCCTTCGATTTTTCAAACGGGAATTTAAATGTCTTTGTTAGGTACAATGAAATAACGGCGACCAGCAGCAATGATCAGATGCAGCTGACACGCGGGCTCCCTTAGGAAGGGGGTTTCTGAATTCCTCCCAACCGGGGGAGAGCAGGGGCTGAAGAAGATACATGCAAAGACATAAGAGAAGACATTGCCAATATTGAGGAACTACAATCACGCGCTGCTCAACACAAAAGACGTGGTAACGTATCACACGATCTCTTCTAGCTTGCGGTGGTAAGTCCCTGCCTGGCACAGCCCAGAAGAACCACGGGAACTCAACCGGCATCGCACGCGCAACAAATGAACGGACGTGCCTGCACATCAAGCAAGTCGCCTTAAAGTCAGCGCGCACGCTCACGAGCGAGGTCTTTAGTACGTCGGGTGCTTTCACATAACTATAATCTGCCAAACAGAGGCTGAAAGGGTTCTCAATACCAGACACTGTAACTAGGTGTGTTTTCAGATTAACGGCCAAAGTGAAATACTCAAATATTCCTTCTGATCGATGAAAGCGTCAGGGCACAAGACCACCTAAGGCTACCGTTATGAGTAGGCCATTCTACCCGACTCTGCCCCGCGCGGGGAGCCTGCTCCTACCTAACCCCAGCAGCTCAATCTGCCTGGCATAGCCATCTCCTGACAGCGTCACAAACCCACCTTTAACTTCTTGGTGGGGTGCTTTTGTAAATAATTTGCAGGTGTGGATCCTGCTCCCTTTTCTCAAGTAAAGATGGGTTGCTTCCATTAAAGAATATGAAGCGCTAGTTTATAGGAAACCGTCTTACATTGGTCTCTCTTGCCCACACGGCGATCAAGCAAGGCATACGACACAGGAGAGACAGCTGCACGATTACTAAAATTGGAGGAAAAAACAACAAGAAGTCCAAGCAGTACATCCCATCTCCTGTATTCTTGTCGTCTTCCTCCTACAGGGTTCCCTGTGGTTGCACCTCCCTCCCTCCCTCCACGAAACGTTTTGGAGGGCTGCTCTCACGTCTCAACTTCGCAGGAGGGAAAGCACGTTTCCCTTTGGAAAAATCCAACTCCAGAACCAAGGCTGATCCAGACCCAGATTCACCCCCCGGGGCAGGGCGGGTGAATCGGTGTAACCAAAGGACACAATAATAGGGGAGAAAATAAAAGTGTCGGCATACACTGAGGTTAGGAGTAAGAACGGCGGATGGCGGGCGCCCGAGCCGCGGCGCTGACCTCTCGCCGTGAGCTTGCTGTAGATCTGCGAGTTCACTTCCTTGTCGCGCATGTAGCATCGGATCTCCTCCGTTGCCTCGCGGATGACTGTGACGGCAAGCACGAATCCCTAAAACGGAGCAGAAATAGATAAAAATGGCTGGGGGAGGAGGGGGGAGATCACATCTGCCTCTGAGAGCAATGCACGACACTTACCAGCACCGCTGCCTGCAATCCACGTTTCCTTAGCCTATTTTCTGTCACTCAGTCATTACAGTGATGCTATGAGTTGCTGTCCAGAACTCCTAATAGTAAACTGACAGTGGGCTTGTCACTTAAAAAACATGACTGTGTTTCCGAGTTGTACCATGATGCTCCCCCAGTACGTCCCAAGCAAATCTTCGCAGAGTTTATCTGAAGTGGGTAAATAACATTTCATCTCACCCCACAGACGAGCAACCCTCAACTCCACAACCACTTTGGAGAAGTCTTGCTGTGCAGTATTGGTAACGATACTCCACACAATAGCAATCCAAAATTTCAAATAAAAGAAAGTTATAAAGGATGATCTGAGAGCTACTGAGACTGAAGGAGAGCTGTTTCTGTAATTAGTAAAAAGAGTAAGGTATACACCTAACCTGCCCACACTCACAATCCCATAATAAAGCTATATAGTCCTGAACTCTAGTCCATACACATTGTGTCTAAATATAATAACTTTTCCTAATCTAGATCATACTACCCTTGAAATATAATGTAGTGCGTTTCTGCAGTATTTAAAAATGCAGGAATAAATAAAAAGACCTAAACACATGAATGCCCCTTTGAAAAAGTATTCCTACTTATCATAATTAAAATTTTCCTTTGTGGCTTGAATTTCAAATTTAAGTATTGTACTCCAAACCTCTCAGCCCCATCTATTGCCTTTCCAAGAGCACATGCGCAGTTAGAAAGAGGCAACATTTATTAATTAGAAGGGAAAGATCTGTAACAATAAAACCCATGACTTTTCTGCATACAGAGAAGGGTAAGGATCAAAAGTGAAAGTTAGAGACATTCTTCCATACACCCGCCTGGCTCCTTTAGCAAGAATTACATCCAGGGAGTCCCAAGGAAAAGAATGACCATTTCTTTTCTATTTAAAAAGTTGCATTTGTGTGTTTAGCTAGAATCAACTGCCTGCTCTCCAACATAAAATTAAAAAGCATCAATTATTTTCAGCTTATGTTTTAACCACTTGAAGAGTCTTCAAATAATCATCCCAAAATATTCCCACATGTGCTGCCTTCACATATGTAATTCTATCCCAAACACTTGTATCAGCAGCCAGTAACGAACAAAGACCTTTCTCATGTGGTTTTCTGGCAGCTCATATGCCACATTTGAATTGCTCACCTGGCACAGATAAGTCACAATTGCCTATACAAAGCTTGAAAAGAGATATCCTGCTTGCATTTTACTTGTACAACAGGATCTGGTGAAACTAGTGTTAGATTTATGCAGCAAACGCAATTATAAGCACCTACTGAAGTGAGAATTCGGTGAAATCCAGCTCTAATCCACACAGAATTTTAGTAGCCTCAGGCAGCAGCCCCTTTATTTTTTTCCAGCTTTTCCCAGCAGGGATCTCACTGTATTTGTCCTTCCTTTCAGACTTAAATCTCCTTCGCTCATCCTCAACTCCCTCAGCAGAGCCACAAACTATACTACCACTTCTCAAGACTGCAGACAACTAGTACTGTAGAAAGAGGGTTGTTCTTTTATAATCAGCTGATTTTGTGTCATTTCTTTAAAGTAAAAAGGATCTCTGTCTTTGGAGATTTTCAAAACTGAAGCGGATGAGGCCAACACCAAGACAGCCCTGCTTTGAGCAGGCGGTTGGACTAGCGGTCCCTCTGAATCTAAATTAATCCACGATTCTCCGAGCTGAAGCGTAGCAAAAACAATCCCATAAAAAGAGAAATAGCAGTTTTATTGGGATAAAAACTGGGGGTGGGGGGAGGAGGTACCTATATTTAAGAATCCACTAGAGCTGTAAGTGGCTTGTGCAAAGTATTTTGGAGAATTAACAAGCCCTGCATTAGCCGTTCTGTGCAACCGTTCCTCGTGGTGTCCTTTGACAGCCTCAGAGTTTCTGCTTCAAACCTGATTATTATTGATTTGCTTTGATCACAGGTGAAACACATGGCTACCAAAAGACAAGGGGAAACAGTGTACAGAAAGGAAAGAGCATCTGCATCTTGCAAGAGTGTGAGCTTGTATGTGTTTACACACAAGTCTCATGGGCATACACACAGGAGGTTTTGGGGGGGGGGGCATCTCTGTTCTTTCTGTTTGTTTTTCACAATGTGATTAAACTGCGAAACATATCCTTCCCTCAGCCCTGTTCAACCTTTGCAAAATAAATCTTGAAGCAGGAGTAAGCATCTACACTAGAACACGTACACAGGAGGCCTTAAGAAAACAAGCAAACAAAATGATTTTAGGTGCAAATTTACACCCCAGAGAAAAGGCGGCAAAAGAAATGTTGTAGTCAAACATCGAAACTTTCTTGAATAAATTACCTACCAGAGGAACCCAGTATGTGTAAAGTGCACCAAGCCTCATTTCAACGACGAATTGAGAGCAGGCCAAAAGCAAGAAATAAAGATTGAAGAAGTATTTGAACTGGTTAAACAACACCTAAAAAAAAAAAAAAAAAAAGAGGAGGGAGAAGATTAATGAGTTCAGAAGTTATGCATATTGAACTAACAATAAGAAAGTTTTGCTGGCACCTCTAGTGCCTGAATGCTAACTCAGAGCAGACTTAAAGCAGTCCTGGAAATTCATTCCTAAAGGTCAGCTCGCTCTGCCTGTTGCGAAGTGAGTTGTTGCAACACTGCCATGCAGCTGGACTCAAGTCTAACACAAACGCATCAATTCCACCTTTATTTTAAGCTCTGACAACCCCCACTCTGCAAAGCGATACTCACACCAAACAGCAGCATAACCGTCTACTATATTTGGTTTGCAAAATCATGCTGAACACATGTTAAAAAAATTCAATGAACTCAGAAAATTTGAATGTCTCCCATTTAAATAACCAACACTGCAGCACAGAGGAGTCGCACATGGGGTTGAGGAGAGAGACAGCTAGGAAGCTCTGGGAGAGCAACCTTCTCCCAAGGGTGAAGGACTTGGCAGGGCGGAAAAGCTCTTGGCACAGGAAGGACAGGAAAGAATAAAAACAAACAAACAAAAATCAGGGAATATCCCTGGGGAACCAGACTTGTTTCTCCTGTTGCCACCAAAAGGACATGTGGGATGGCTGAATCCTGCGGCTCCTCCCAGGAACATGTAACACCAAAACAGCCTCTGCCAGTCCCACACATCCCGACTCCACCCTGAACAGCTTCGTGACTGGCATTTCAGGGCCTCAGCACACGAAGGGAGGCAACAAGGTCCTCACCATTTCATCACACCTAGCAATGCACCATGCTAGACAAATGTCTACTTTTCCTGGTGTCCTGAGCCAGCCTTTGCAGGAAGTCCATCCGGCACCAGATTGTTAATTATTTCCTCTGATTCTGTACTTGTACACTATAAAGCCAATGAAAACGGGGAAAGGATTAGGGCGAGGTGATGAGAAGTAACTTTCTGCACACTTACCCCAGGGAGGAAAGTAAAAAAGTTGTATTTCTGGTTGTTGATCACATTGCGAGGGTACCTCTGGTCCCTCTTTTCCGGGTGGCCAAGCCAAACAGTACGAGGCCTCGGGTCTCTTCTCCCACAGCATCTTAGGCACTCGCAACACCTACAGGAGGAACAAAGTTAATTTTCAACCCACGCATCCCTGACTCGCACATGCTTAACACCCCAGACCCTCTCCACCAGCCAAGCCAAAGCCAAGCATCACTTCTTTGTTCGTCGCTCACCACCTCTCACCTGCCGATTATCTACTACATCACAAGCATCCTGAAAACCAAGACCTCAGCGTTACTAGAGGTAGACATCCAGCCTACCTGAGCTGCTGCAGGCCTGCCTCACAGTTCGCTGAGCTACGAGCAAACACCTCATACAGCATTAGATCTGCTAATAAACACGGGCAACTACGTGTCCAGAGCTGCGTAGACGCACATCAGCGCTCAGAAAGGCGCCTGGAGCAGTGCGTGGGTGTGCAGTCTCCTTGGTTTACTTTCAGGAAACCGATGCGTGGAAAAGCATGGACCAAGTTCATGACTCGACTGAGTCAGTCGGGTCGTTGCTACATCCTACCCCATGGGCCAGCGAGCACAGAGCATCTGCTCCGTGGTTTGTTCTTGCCTGGCTGACGGAAGAGCTGCCACCTTGGGACGAAAGCGACTTCAGGAAGCAAGAAGATCTAGGGCACAGGCAGAAAGGTCCCCTTGCACTGATGCTCTCTTGCAGCTTTTACACCAGAAAGCTACCACAAAAAAATATTATCAAATGCTTTTTACTATTTGTTCTATTTCCTTACTGATGTATGAAAACTCCCAAACAAAGGGATGTTTTCCCACTTATGAACTGAAACAGGAATGCACATCTGTAAAGTGATCTGATGCACCCCGAGGAAGAGGGAGATTCTTCTCCTTCCCTGCAACCCCTACTTCATAGAAATCTTACCTGTGAATTTTTAGCAGAAGGGTTTAATAGTTGCATGTTTGAATTTTTACCCTTCAAAACAGCCTTACGAAGTAAAAATACTCTATATTCCTCCCCAAAAATGAAACATTAGGAAGAATCTGAAATGAGATATTGAAGGACTACCGATTTCATTTGCATGTGGTATTACCAGTCATTAGCTCTGTTTATATTAATGGCAAATTATATGCTACCTACTAATGAGTAATACACATTCTTGTCGACAGAGGACACGCACTACAGATCCAGCTACAGAATCCTGGTTTCCCACTTTATCTATACTAAACCATGTTTTAGCTCCCGAGATTACTGTTCTACCTGCAGCACCATGGCAGAGGCAGCGAGCTCCAGCAGCCCAAACACCTGATGCCTGCATTCACTATCAGCGCACAAGCTCACACTATTTTGAATTAGATTTGTCCAGTATAACCTCTGTTGTACTTTTTTTCTTCTGCAATTTTAATCCGCTTTGTCAAAAGTACCTGTCCTTGTTACAGAAAATATTCTCTATCAGGTTGCAGCTCATCAAGTTTCAATTACCTAGCTTGAAAGTCATTTTTTAAAACCTCGTTATGCCAGCTTCCCAGAAAATTGTTCAAGATAAATAAAATATAAACATTATTCATCATAGCATGCTCATTTTCTACTTTCCTAACTCAGGCCCATATTAAAGAGATTTATTTAACATTGTTCCTGCCCCTTGCTAAAAGCTACAAGGGAAACCCTGAAAGCCGCACCAACTCTGCCATGGCTGACCCAGTTACTGAAGGATACCCTCTTCTCTCCTGGGGAGATATTTGAAGTGCAAGTTATAAAATATGAGCTGAGCTAGCTCTCTGAGCATGTGCTTTAACCAGGAGTTTACAAACCATCACCATTTGTCTCTTCAGCTCGGCTACAAACAAGGACAGACGGACCACTGACCTCTCCCTAGCTGCACTCGGGGCGGTTTGGAGCTTACTAGATTTATTAAATGCAACACGCCATCTCTCCGATTCAGATATTTGCACCTACCCAAGTTAAAATTTCCTCCAGCACACAGCTGGGTATCATACGTGATAAAACTGCATACCCTGTTTTGCAAGTCACTGTGTCGCTTATAACCGTTCCCACTAGATACGGTTTTCCTCAGCTAAAAACGAGGATTAGATTACAGGAAACTTTTTTTCTTTTTTTTTTTTTTTTAATGTTGAGGTTCTTTTCGTGGCCCTACTAATGTCAGAGAAATATATGAAAGGGTGGGGGGAAGTGGTATCTCCAGAGACTCAAAAGAAAAAAACCACATCCTCATAAAAATTTTTAAAAATATTTAAGAAATAAGTCTTGCAGCTTTTCAGTGCTCAGAACCAGCAGTGAAACTGTTCTCCTTGCACAGAGACAGCTTGCGCTCCTGACTGTTTGGGGAGCGATTATTTCGTGCTGCCCCAGCCCTAGTTCACGCGCACGGGGAATTGGGCGCCTGCTCCGCTCGCCCAGGGCCTCCGCACGCACCCTGCGGGCAGCGCGGACCGGCGGCCG